GGGAGGGCGGGGGTGGGGGGGGTCGGAGGTTTGGTTTTCTCAAGGTTATCTTTGCTGTACGGAAAGCAGACACGAGCTGGCGCTAGTTTCGGAATAAACACCTTTAGGAACAACATTGTTCCCGTTTCAAATAAATGAACAATTAAATAGCAACAAGGAAAATTTATTTGCGCACAGATAATTTTGCTGCGTAGAGTAGGAGATGTGGATCCGCACACAAGCATAGGAGTTTAAGGAACTTTAGTATTTTTCTGCAGGAGTCATTTATGGTCGGCCATAGGGTGAAATCGTGAATGTTATTATACTCACTATATTCCTGTATTGCTTTGAAATTCAGTTAATTCAACTCCACTGGCAGGGGAGGTGTGTTATTTTGTTTGCTTGACGGTGGTGTGTGGTAAGAGAACCCGATGGTTCTGTCGATTCGTTTGACACTGTTCTTGTTTGTCTTTTTTTCTGTTGAATTTGGGCTCAAAACGCATTTAAAAGCATTATTTACCTTTGTTCTGCTTCAACAACCTGACATAATATGGAAAAATTGGCATTTTACTTCTCGACAGCCTGAAATTCCACGACGCGTGTCGACCGAAGGCAGTAGGGCACCGCTAGCTCGGCCCCACACAACCTGCTTGATTTTTCCCTTTCTTTTGCTAATTGCTGGCGACATTTGAGTAATTGAGCTTTGGTTTGTTTTTTTCCTCCAATAAAAGACGTTTTCCCGCAGTGGAGGCCCTCATCTCTCTCTGCTTTCACTCCTGAACCGGCGCCAACGCTGACCTCGAGGGCCCCGAAGGTACCGAAACCGGAGGCGGCTTGTGCACTAGCACTTCCTTTCTTCGTGATTTCACTGTTTGAAAATGTCAAAGGGGGGGAGTATCACAGAAGAAAACCCCAAGGCCCCCACCGCGACCACCCTGTGGTGCTGCCCTTGCCTCGCCGACGCCTGTTGCTGCTGCAGATGCTGCTACAACTGCTGTCAGAAAGGGGCCCCGTGTCCCTTCTTTTACTTTTGCTTTCCGTGCTGCTGCTGCTGCTGCCGCCCAGGTGGGGCAATAAAGGGGGTTGACGAAGAAGAGACGGTTGTGCCTCAGGAAGAGGTGGTTGGAGCCTCTGCTGAAACAGGAATTGAAGGTGAAAAGGCGGAGGATAAAGAGGGAGAGGAAGCGGCAGCACCAGAAGAAGAAGCGTCTGCTGCCGAACCCCCTCCGGCTGCTACAGCAAAAGCAGGGACGCGAGAGGAGACCCCAGCACTCCTCAAACCTAAGCCCAAAGCAAAGCCCCGCCGTGCAGTCAGTCCGGCAGCAAAGAGGGCCCCAAAGAGCACTCCTGCTTTCTTCACAGGAAAGGCAGCTGGGCTTCCTCCTCCTCCTAAGGAGTCATGTGTGGGCCCCCCTCCTGCAGTGCCCGAGCCTGGGGCCCCAGTAGGCCTCGGTGCTTACCTGGTGTACACAGAAGAAGAAGGGGGAAGGCTGAAGGGCCAGTGGAGCAAATCACCCCTTATAGGAGCGGGTGTTCTCGCCTACCTCCGTCCTGGAAAAGAAATAGCTGACTACAAGTTCGAAAAAAAATCCGCCATTGAAATCTACGCAACTGACTGCGAGGTGAACAGACACTCTAATGCACAGACACCCAAGCACACGACCTTCTTCTGGCCATAAAGGGCTCTTAGCAGCCCCTAAACGATCTCCGAGAGGTCTTAAAACTATTTTTAGGGGAGCCCTCTAGAAAGTCTATTAAGGACCGCAGCGGCTCCGTGTTGTTGAGTTGCTGCAGCGGCGCCTATGCCGCTGGATCTGAAGGGAAATGAAGGGGCAAAATGCACCGGTTGAAAGCAGGAAGTGAGGTAGAACAATATATACAGAAGGTGATTTGCGCTACCTGTTTGTGTACATCTGCAGACCTGCATGGCCAGTGAGTTTCCTGCAGACAGAGAGAAGTTCTACGAGGGATGGGCGGCTTTTTACAAGCTGCTTTCTGCGCATGGCGGAAGCATCGTGCTGCTACCAGCAGCAGCAGCAGAACCTCCCCCAAAAGTGAAAGTTGTGCTGTTCAATAAGGGCAAGGTGAGAATAAAATGCGTGTCAGTTGCAGTGTACGTAGATATATCACAGTTGATCGTGCTTGCTGCTTCTGCCATGCAACTGCTGTCGTACTGCACTGCGTGCGCTGTACCCACAGCTCAGCATTGTGGAAGTTGGGCAAGAAGTGAGTGCTGCTTCATTCGAAAGTTTGGCAATTGTTCCCGCCAACGCCACGAAGTTCGATGCCAAGGAAATGAACCACTCCGACTTCGCTACACTTGCAAAGTCTCAAGGCGCATATGTCAGCATCACCAAGTAAACAAAGAGAAAAGAAAAAGGATAAATGTATTACAGCAATTTATACACATAAGTATATTTATAGCATTTAGGTACAACGGATTGAGACGAACTACTATTAACGATACTACTAACAGTACCGTTAATTGCTCCCGTCCTTGTTGAGTTTTCCGGCGCATACAAATCAAGCATGTTCCTTTGTGCTTAGCCTTCTGTTGTACACACAAATAACATGTTTACTTCGTCTAGATGCCGGTTGTATACGCAAATAGCATCGTCATTTTGTTCTTAGCTTTCCGTTGTATACGCCAATACCGCAATTCTATTATGCTGAGGTTCCCGTTGTACACACGGTTGACATGTTTCTTTTGTTTTTTTTTTGAATCGAAGTCAAATTACAAAGACGACCAACGGCCTTTTTCGCTCATCGCACTCAGGCAGCTAGAGGGAAAAATGGACTTCAGCAAACCTCCAGAGACAACGTTTGTCCATTGTGTGCTTGCTCTCAATAGAAAGCAACAAATACTCACAGCCCAACAGAAAAAAAAGTGCTTAACTTAACTCCTCATATTGTCAGAAGTGCTATGGGATACAGAGGTACACTAACATAGGTGGTGACGCACACCGCCACCACCCATGTTCCTGTACCTCTGTGTCCCATAGATGGTATCCAAAGAAGCAAATACGAGTAGTACAACAAGGCAAGTGCAACAGATGTAGCCAATGCTAACGAACGCTACGTGGTAACGGAAACGCCACAAGGCAAGGACACTGCGGCAGAGTTCTGTTTCCGGTGTAGGTACAACCGGTTGAGGCTGGAGGGCAGGTATATGTCCGCCTTTGCAAGAGCACATAGGATGCCCTTGCCCCTCATGTGCTGCAGTGCACGCAAATTCAACAACAGCCTCATGTTAATCTGTTAGATCAGCTAGCTTTGATGCAGCAATTGCATGCAATGACGCATGCACTGAGGCGCGGTGAGGTATGGCCTTGCGAGCTGTTTGCCTCAGAAGATACCACACCAGCAGGTTGTAGTAGCAGCAGTCCGCCCGTCGCTAAATCAGACGTGCTACAACAACAGGCACAAGACAATATGACAGGGAGCAGGATTAGGACCGCCGAAAATAGGGCAAGCAGCAACAGGAGGAGGTGCAGCCGAGGCGGCGGTTGCAGCAGACGTGAAAGCGGTCGCTCTTTGTCTTCTGGTGTTCGTACTGCTGCAGCCGAAGCAGTGGTAACAGATGCCGCGGATCCGGAACACTACACAGAACTTACAGCGCCTAGATCGAGCGGGATACCGAGAAGAAGGCAGCAGCACCAGACTACTGCAGACGTGCATAGAGACTGTACTCGCCCTCTAGATAGTGAAAAGCGGGACCTGGTGCAGGCAGCCTACCGCCAGATACTGTCTTCATGTACCGCAGTTGCAACATAGTGAACCGTACGCTGCTTGCGTTTAATAGTACGCCGCATGGAGATGGATTCCGGTTGAGGCGTATTAACACTTGTTCATCTTTCATGTATACGCCTTCGTGCAGATGGTCCAACTAAAACCGTGCTACCATCGCCTTTCCTGTAGCTTAGCACCCCCACTACCAACCTCCAACCTACACCTAGCGCCAGCAATGCTCCGTTGGACTGCCATATTTCACATGCTACCGCTGCTGCTCCTCCTTTCCGGTTGCTGCGACTCTGCATCTGCCGTTGCCAAGGCCGAGCTTGCTGCGACGGTTCACGAGGGGGGCCCCTTTTTGGTTCCTTTGGCGCTTGCAGCAGCCACAGCAGCAGGTTCTGGGTTTCGCGGGCTAAAGCAAAGAGATACAGTCCAAGCACGCACTGCGTTGTCTGCATTTGCTAGGCCCCCTTCATTTATCACCTGCACCTCCTCTGCGCTGAGCTTTGGCCGCTGCAGACAGGGTGGCAGGTCTTCCATTGCGGCGTACCTGCACCCCAACAAAACACGGAATAGTCAAGGTCCACAAGGTCCACAAACCCTCACAACCTAAATCCTAAACCCACCTGGTACAGACACCCAAACATATACGCAAGCGTGCACACACATTTGCGTTCGCAACAGCTCACCTAATGACTGTCACATGTGAGTCTACTGCAGTTGAGGGTGCATGCTGAATGCAGCTGCTGCTACTGGCTTCCCCTTGAGGCTTCCGCTGCTGCTGCTGTTGCAGGAGCAGGTGCTGCTGTGCCTGCTGCGGTTGTGGCTGCGATTGCTTCGGATGCGGAAGGAGACCGAGGCGCTCCAGTCTGTTGCGAACACTCCTAAAGAGAATGGTGGGGGTACGCCGCTGCAGAGTGGGGGCCTCAGCAGCCGCATCGCCTGCGCCTGCTTGTGGCGCTTGTACAGGTGCTACTGCAACTCCCGGAGCAGCAGCAGTAGTACCATCTGCATCAGCAGCAGCAGCTTCTCCAGGGGACAAAGGCTCAATCAAGGCGAGCTCTCCGCCCACCAGAACGTTATTGCCTACGGCGGCTGTTATATTCACGACTTTGCCTGCAACTTTTGCCGTTATTTCGACTGAAACCTTGTCTGTTTCCAGCAAGCACAACACGTCCTCTGCATTCACCACAGAACCCTCTCCTACCAGCCACTTCGAAACAGTACCTTCAGTTATGGAATCCCCCAAAGAAGGCACGCGAACTACATGGTTCCCGCCACCGCTGCTGATGCTACTGTGACCGCGGATGCTTCCCTTGATGCTGTGTCTAATGATGTTGCTTCTGCTATCAGTCCCCTTGCTGCTTCTTCTGCTGCCTAAGTTGCTGGTGCTGTGATTGTCCCTAGTTCCGTTGGGTGCTGCATCCAACTGCCGCCAGCAGCCTGGTCGGCCATGGAATGCATCAACAAGTTGGGGTTTGGCGCGGCATTGAGGAGCCCGGATTGGCCCCTGGCTTTGTGTTGCTTGCAGACGGAAACGCACGTAGCTGCAGGGTATTAAGAAAGTACAGCTGAAGCTGCTGCCGACGCCGCAGCTGAAGCTGGTCGTGTTGTAGCCGAATCTGCAGCTGCTGCAGCCGTTTATGCTGAAAGAGGGCCCTAAGAAGGCAGCGAAATACGCTGTGCCTCTACAGGGCCTATCTGCGCGGCTGATGCCGCGCCAGAGGCCAGCCATAAGCTACAGGACAAAGCCCCAATCTGGGAGAAGCCACATGCACGCATGCATGCGTTATATTTTTGCGTTTGTGCTTGTGTCTATGTATGTACTCGTTTTTGATTCCGTTGTGGCTGTAGACACTGCTGCCGCAGCTACCGTCGGGGAAGAAAAATCCGACTTTACGGATATTCAAGAAAAAAGTGAATGGAAGCCCAGGGTTTAGCGTTTAGATTTTAGGGTTGAGGTAACAATGGACAGCAAATCCGTTGCGGATGCTGGTGTTGTCGCTGGCCCTGGTTATCTGGAGCGAGCAGCTGATTTGTTCCCTCCTCTATTTCCAATTGAAAATATTTGAACGTGAGACGTCTATCTATAAAGAGCTTTTTTGTTGCACTCTTGTCCCCCCCTCAGAACAACTGCCTCGCAAGCCCCATGATGCAGCAACTCAATATTACCAGCGTATATCTTTACAGTTTTGGGCTCACCCATACTATTTAAACCATTGTTATCATCATATGGTAATTAGCTGCTATTAAAAAATCCACTAATGCTACCAATATATCTTGTATTGCTACCTAACAGCCTCTGATTGCAGCTAATGCGTCACATCTCGCTAGTGATAACTCATCTGCAGTTAATCAAATACATCATGGATTTCAACTGCAAGTAGTTATTTTTGTTACTGTTACAAATCATTTTTCTGTAGGTATGATGAAGCCTCTATATTTACTCCAGTAGCCAGTTCATGAGTACTCTCCAGTTGAGTCACTTGGCTGTCGCTGCACATGAACAATTATAGTAGCAATCCACGGCTACTAATCAACCGTTTGAAATAATAAATCCCTTGTCACAACACAAGTAAATCTCTCTAGACGTTGATTCCTGGGAATAAGCCCTTCTGGATGTATTTCACTCCACCAAATCAAAGCACTGGCAGCACGAACAGCTCACAGCCACCCAATAGGGCACTGGTTACCCTTTGCACACGTACTTACACAAAAATATATATTCCTATACATCATACGGTTAAACAGATGCACGCCTACAGACACGATTGTGCATTAACCAGAAACAATTTACCACTAAGTCCACGGGACTACACAAAATAGATAATACAATTCACATCACCAAAAAGGCTACGAACTACAGTGTCGTCTAGTACTGATTACACGGCAAAGCAGGATAACGAATGCGATGATGGCAGTAGCATGAGGAAATTGGTATATTCCCTCACAAACAGAAGAGAACGTATATATATATATATATATATATATATATATA